GATTTTGATTAATGTTGTGTGGGAGATGTTGTGCATTATGTAACTGTTAAACTGCTTACCCTTGTTTGCCCAAATGGTGTTGGTTTCTAAGCAGTTGGTCATATTTAGTCCATCCTAATGTGTAGTAACATCTCATGTCTCATCTGGACAGTCGTTCACTTTTAATTTAGCTTAAAACAAAAAAAGCAGCCCTGACAAAGAAAGAGAACTGAACAGCAGGCTGCTGCTCCTGGGTTTTTATAGGTTGTTTTCAGCAGTTAAGATTTTCCTAGCTTTTAGTCACAAAGTTAATAGAGCTAGATGGAGTTTGACCCATTTGAGATGAGTAATGAATAAAATGCAAACTTGCTCTGTGCAAGTTACACAAGAGGGTTAATTGTAGCAGCTAAGAGCACAGAAATGCTTTAAGAGATAAATATTTGAATAAAAAAAGACAGCAGAAAGAGAAAATGTACTATTCTCAAATATCTGTCAATTTTATAATGAGTTTCCAGCTTTTGCAGAAGCATCCGTTTACATTAAGTTGTAGATCTAATCATAAAGTTCATTGTCAATCTTTTATTTCATATATCTCCAAAGATCAGAAACCTCCCAGATGTTTTCCTTCTTAGTGCGTGGAGCATTAGCAGAATTGGACATCCTCTTGCCTTAAAGCTGCATATAAATTCTTTTGCTTATGAAAAGTCAGCAGTTGGGTTGGAAGTGTGAATAGAATATTGAAAAGAAAGCTGAAGCAAAATCTGTGTAATTTTTCTGAATACCATAAATACCTAATAAAGTAGATTTAAGACGCTTTGAAATGAGATACGAATCCATAAAGCAGAATGAAAACAATTTTTTATTAATTTTATTTAAATGAAATCCATCTGAATTCACCCAATGAACAGACTTCTGAATGTGTTCAGAAGTTAATTCTTACTTTCCTGCTTTTTTTGGTTAAGAGAACTGTGTTTCTTGCATTGTGTTTCTTAGTGAGAGCTGAAGTCTCCTGGATTTTAACTCATTCCTCACTTTTAAGATGAAAAGTTCTAGGTAGTGAGGCAGGTCATAGCTAAAAATCTACAGTAAGGAGTATTTTTGGTGATCTGGACTATCAAAACTGAAGAAAATGTTAGAAATCACTTAATGAGCTAGATTGTAAATAGTTACTCGGTTCCAACAAAAACATTTTCAGTTTTTTTTTTTCTCATGCACCATTAATGCTATATTTTATAGATTGTGTTGTGATATGCATGGGAGTGATTGGGTGTTTAATGGAAATCAGATTTGTGCCAGTCTTACCTGGATGAAGCTTCTCTTCAGACAGCAGCCTTGTCCCTGCTGCTGACGTTGGAGGGAGCAGAGGAGCAGCTCCATTTATCAGGAGAGCCAGAGGTGATCCGTGTGTGTTCTTGCTGCCATGAGGATGGGAGGATGATGCAGTTGGACAGAAACCTCCCAATCCTGCTTGTACAGTTTGGTGAGAAGGGTTTGTGCCTTCTGTGGCTGCTGCAGTTTGGGTCCAGTTTCTGCAAACAGCCAGCTGGTGTTCTTCAAGGAAATCAACATTTCCCAAGTAAAACCCCCATCTCACAGAGCAGCTTGTGGAAAATTATTTCAGTGTGCTTTTGCTGAGATGACAGAGTGTTTTCCCATTTCTTCTGCTCTGTTTGGGACTGAATTGTTGCCTTTTTAAAGAACTGTCCTAAGAACCAAAGCAAACTCTGCTTGCTTATTAAATTTCTTGCTTCAGTGTGTTTGGGCTAATGAAGAAAATACTTCACAGTAATCTTTCCATTCTTTATTATAGTACATTGATGCTACTGCAAAGCTTCCAGATTCAGTGCTGATCTGATCTGTTTGTTCCATTGACGAGGTCAGGGTTCTTAATTTTATTAAAATTAATTTGCGGAGATGACAATGGAGCTTATTGTTAGTTCCCATCAAACTACAGAAACCCAAGTTCAAGCCTTCTGCTTTTAATATACCTATCTGTGGAGGCTTATACTGAATTATTGAGAAAGAAGCACAAATAGCTGAAGGTAGAGTAAGTTTGGTAAGGTAAGAGAAGATGGTCAGTTAATGTGCACTTTGGAAAATTAGGCTAGGATTTGTGAAAGGTTTTACTTTCTATACTCCTGAAGTGCTGAGTTAAGAGATTCTACATTTGGTTATAGAGATCCCTTTCTTTCAGAAAAAGGTACTTCTGCTTACTGTGTTCATCTGAAAAGTTGCTTTAGTGTTTTTAAAATGAAGAAACCAGCCTGCCTTTCTTTTTAGAGCACCTTATGAGAGGCAGCTGCATGGGGGTAAGGAGGGTGGTTCTTGATTTGTCTGGCAGAAGCTACCACCTTGAGCTCCCTTTTTCCCTGTAAACACAGAAGCAGTTTTATTCGAAAATCTGTGGACATGAACAAAATGAATTTGAGGTGGGAACACAGATCTGGTTGGTGGAATTACGTAAGGTTTCAGCCAGCACAGATGCCAGCAGCATCCCAGCTAAAATCCGTAGTGTAGACTGGTATAAATCAGCATCTGGCTTGTTTACAGGGGGGACTTGATCATTTAATGAAGTGGAGCTCCATATTGTTCCTTGTTTGAGCCAAGGGAAAAACAACTTCTGGACACAGCAAGTAATTAAATTGAGGGGAGTGTAATATATCCTGTCCTAAAAGTAGTATTTGAGAACTTTATTCTTTCTTCCTGATTTCTGTGAGCTGTTTTGTGTTTTCCTGGGCACCTAAAAAGAAGAATTTTGTTAAAAATTTCTAGTTATTTTAGGTCACCTTTTACAACTGGCTTTATGTAGTAAAAAAGTGATCTGATAAGGTTTTATTTTTTTTTTTTTGTTCCTTATTTATCAGAACTTAATATATTTTCTTCAGTGTATTGAGTTACTCTACAAGTGTGTTCAGAAGATACTCAGCACACTGTCTAAACTGATCAACTGGAATTTGTTTGAAGCTTTGTGGGTTTTAATTTCTTGTCTGCTCATGCATTTTGGACATAAAGGCATGCACCTGCACTTCACAGTCACTGTGTTGCTATTTCTCTGTCAGAGGAGGCGCTCCATGATTCAGCTTCTCCTCTGTGAGGAATCCAAAATAACAAGTTGACTTGAAAACAAAGTCAAAGAAGTAATTGGGAAAAAATGTAATAAGCATCGAACTGCTGTGGCTGCATGGTGATGCTGTATCACCAGTAAATCATAGAATCACAGAATGGTCTGGGTTGGAAGAGACCTTAAAGCTCATCTTGTTCCAATCCCCTGCCATGGGCAGGGACACCTTCCACTATCCTGGTTGATCCAAGCTCCTTGGCCTCTTCCAGAGATCCAGGGGCAGCCACAGCTTCTCTGGACAATCTGTGCCAGGGCTTCCCCACCCTCAGAGGGAACAATTTCTTCCTAATGCCTAATCTAAACCTACTCCCTTTCAGTGTGAAGCCATTTCCCCTTGTCCTCTGACTGCAGTTCTTGATGTAAACAAAATTGGATGGGTCTGGTGTCTCTGACCTCCAGCTCTGCTCCCATCAGACCCATCCATGGGTAGCTACTGTGGTGGGTAGAACTGGAGGTCAGTTCAAGTAAAAAACAGTAAAAAAAAACAACCCAATGCTGAATTTCCTCACTGTACTTGGTGTTGGCAGAGCTGTCAAGGAAGAGAAATTGCGTTGCTCTATTGAACCTTTTTATATTCTTTACTTCGTAATAACCCGAGGCCTTGTGTTCAGAGGTGGTGAGCTCATATCTCAGAGGCTTTCAAAGCTGCAGATACTCAGCCTCTCTAAGAATTATGTCTGAGAGCATCTGCTTTTTAAGGGGCACAGAAGATAATTGCAGCTAAAAAGCTGATCTTGTGATATGTATAAAAGCTTTCCTGTAACGTTGGATGTCCTGAGCTATTTAGTTTCCTAAGTAGTATCTCAGTACTTGTTTAGATTGTTTTTGCAGCCAGCTGCTTTCCAACTTGAACTGCAATCTCCTTTCCCAGTCTTAATATCACTAAAACAGATGATTTCTTGTTTTCATGCCCCATCCCAAATGTGAGTTGGGATTTGTCTGAAGTGGGAACTGCTTTGTTTAAGGCCTTACAAACTAGGGCAGGGAAGAAACCATGTACAGGTACAGGTTCCCATCACACACTGTTTATGGATTTGATGGGAAGCATCGCCTACTCCAGCCATACCAACTTCTGCTCCGGTAGGAATTATTCTCAAGCATTGGAGTATTGGAACAGCCACTTTTGGTGGTCCTTGGTGGCACAATCTGTTGGTGGCAGTGGGCAGGTGCACAGGCAGTGTGCTTCTGCCTTCTCTGTTCTGAAAACTCTGTTCAACTCTCCTGTGTTTCTAACTACAACACATTAATTCCTAAAAAACCTCTATTGTTTCTAGAGAGAATAAGCTTATTAAGAAAGTAATTAAAAACCTTATTTTGGGAATTGGGGGAAAAGCTTTGACCAAATGGAATAGATAAACCTAGTATCTAGTGTACTCATATAGGAGGTGTTTTGGCAAAGTAGAGAAACATTTTTTTTTTCCTTAAAATTGCCAAAAAGTCTTTGCAAAGTCACCTTTAGTAAAATCAAATTAACTTTATATTCTCCTGTATACATGTATGCATTTTTCACTTACTTTGTCACAGTTATGGGGTGCTTGATATGATCCAGCTCCTTTTTTCCCCATTATAAATGGGCATGGACATCTGTCAGGAATGGTGGAGCGGAAGCAGCAGGAAATCTGATTGCCTTTTCAGCACATTCCTCAGTCTGACACAGTTTTATAATATAGAGGTGGGAGTGAAGTTCTCTGCAGGCTGTTCAAACCGGTACTATGGAACCTGAGCTTTAAGAGAGAGCTTTCTGTGTTCCTGATTGCTCCTCTGCTTTCATGCAGCATAAATATGGATTGCTATGGAAAAGGATAGTGCTGCCCTCTCCTCTGTCCCGGCCATGCGATAGCCCCTCATTCATGCAGCCACCTGATCTGCTGAATAGATCACTTGAGCTCTTGGAAAAATCTCTCGTTCTGTGCCAGAGTCCTCAGGAGGAGATAGTAGGAATAAGGCTGACAAATTTAAGTAGAACTTTGAGCTATGCCTTGGTAGAGCAAGGTGTGTGTGAAGGTATTTCAGTGAAGAATGTACTAACTTGTAAAACATTGCCTAACTGGGGAACAGGTATTAACTAATTTTTGGGTTGATGTGTCGGGTTTTGAGTTTAATCCTGTTGTGCAGCTTGTGAGTTTTAGTTTCCTAGGCTCTGGGTGGTTTTGTTAGCTGAGAGGGTTGTAATATGATAAATAAGAAGTGTTGGTCAAGTGATGTGGCAGGTTTGTATTTAATCAGTTTTGCATTCTTTGTTTTGCATTCAGCAAAGTGAAACCAGCACTTTGTTGAGTTTTACATGCTGGATAACTATTCTGGGGTAAGGGAGGAAATGCTGTGTACCTTTGTCTGTTTGTCCTTTATCTATTTGCCTCAGCCTTTCCCTCTATTATGCTTTCTACACAAAGCTTTTTCTGCCTTCCCAATCCAAAGTTTCAGATTGCAGTAAGAGTGTTTGTGGATATTTTGGTGTGAACTTGTTGCTTGGATTTACTTCATTTACTTCAGCAGATTGTAAAATTGTAAGATTCAGGAGCACCACTTATGTGGCCACCGGTTTTTTATAAATACTGGTTTATTTTAACCAGTCTCTCGTGGCCTCAGCAGGTCATGACTGGGTTTAACCAAGTAAATTTGGATTAGAATAGGTGTGGCATTTAATAATTAACTTTCTGGTTACTCAGGTCCAGTAGGAAGCCCATAATGAGTCTATTTTCATTTTGTTTACAGGAATAGTTATCTGCTTACGCTCATCCTTCATATTTGGCAATCTGAAGAAAAGATCTGAGCCAGCATGAAGACAGAATCCCCTCTTCATTAGAGAAAAAGTGAGTTGAAATCTGAATTTGTTGCATGAAAATACTGTCTTAGCCTGGCAACACACACAGCTTGTGCATGCTTTCAAGTGGCATTTTCACTTTGTAACACTACTGATACGGGTGATGTCCAGTCAAGACCTAGTCTTGGTTAAGCACATTTCTAAAATTTTCAAATTGTAAGTATTTTACATGAATTCCAACACCTTCCTTTTCTGGAAGAACTGCTTACTCACTGTGTAACTGCCCACCAGATACACACCCTTCCTTCCAAATCCTGCAAGGTCTAGACTTTGTGTTCCTTTTCTTGTACTGCTGTATTCATATTGAATTTTATTTTAAGAATTTAATATTTATAACTTGTTTCTGTAGCTGTACTGGTCTCTTCTCCAGTATTCTCAGCACTTAATGTGTATTCTGAATTTGTTTGGAAATCTCTGTGCAAGTTTGAAGAGTTTCAGAAATGCTGGACTAAGTTTTTTTCTCATTTTTGCACTAGTAAATCCTGAATTCTGCATATAAAATGCCAGTAGGTCAAGTCTTACCCTTTTCATAGTGATTTTACTCCCCTTAGATGTTGTAATAATATCAAATAAAAAAGGCTGCCCATTTTCCCAGTCTGATTTTAATATCCACTGGGTTAAATCTTCCTCATTTTTTGTTTTGAGCAGCTCCTTTGCTGGCACTGTGTACTGATGGTGTGTTCTGGCCCCTCAGCTTTCTGCCCACCGCAGTTCATTTCAAGGAGTGCACAATGACAGAGCGTGGAATTAAATGGGCCTGTGAGTATTGTACATATGAGAATTGGCCTTCTGCAATCAAGTGCACCATGTGTCGTGCCCAGAGACCCAGTGGAACAATTATCACAGAAGATCCTTTCAAAAGTGGTTCCAGTGATATCGGGAGGGACTGGGATCCTACGAGCACTGAAGGAGGGAGCAGTCCTTTGATATGCCCGGATTCCAGTGCAAGACCAAGGGTTAAATCATCCTACAGTATGGAAAGTGCAAATAAATGGTCGTGCCACATGTGCACGTACTTGAACTGGCCAAGAGCTATAAGGTGTACCCAGTGCTTGTCTCAGCGCAGGACCAGGAGTCCCACGGAGTCTCCTCAGTCTTCAGGCTCTGGGTCCAGACCGGTCCCTTTTTCTGTGGATCCGTGTGAGGAATACAATGACAGAAATAAACTAAACATAAGGGCTCAGCACTGGACTTGTTCTGTTTGTACATATGAAAACTGGGCCAAGGCCAGGAAATGTGTTGTATGTGATCACCCCAGACCCAACAACATCGAAGCAATAGAACTGGCAGATACAGAAGAGGCTTCTTCCATCATAAATGAGCAAGACAGGGCTCGGTGGAGAGGCAGCTGTAGTAGTGGTAATAGCCAAAGAAGATCTCCACCAACAACCAAACGTGAATCTGATGTGAAAATGGACTTCCAAAGAATTGAATTGGCTGGAGCTGTTGGCAGCAAGGAGGAGCTTGAAGTTGACTTCAAAAAACTAAAGCAAATAAAAAATAGAATGAAAAAGACTGACTGGCTGTTCCTAAATGCTTGTGTGGGTAAGTTGTTTACTGCTACCTTCTGCTCTTGTGCTGGTGGTTAAGTATTTTGGGAGAATGAAGAATTAAAACAGAAACTTGGCATTTGATTTCAAACCAGCTTTTTTTATCTCTGCATTTCCATTTAAAAAAGTAAGCCAAATGTAGAGGTTCCTGAAATAGCACCTGCTAAGAGAGGCTGTGAAGTTCATCCATAATCTGAACAGGGTTAGACGTGTCTCTCAAGTGTACTTAGACTTTTTTGACCTTTTGTAGAAATGGATATTCTTGTAACCAAATCCTGTTGTTCCATATAATTGTCAAAAGGTGGAAAAAATACAAAGCAAATCAACAGAATGTGAGTGCATATAGTACTGTAAAAAATGCCATTACTGGATAATTAAAATTACTCTTCTTTTTGCTATGGCAAGACATACTCTGTAGAGTCAGCAGCTGCAGCTTGGGAGTATTTGTAAACAGTGTAGAGCTTGCAACAGTACAAGATGCTCTGTCAGATGTTAAAAATAACACCAAAATATGTAGCTCCAAGAAACTGCATGTGTAATACTGACCTTGAAAGTAATAATGTTGTATTAATACACATACTGTGTTGTAAATGTTTACAGGCTTTCTGAAAGTATTTTTGTAGTCGGATGCTTCAAAAAAACGTTCAAATACCAATTTTGTTTTGTATTTTAGTGCTTTCCTAAGGAAATACTGGATAATTCTTGCAGTGCTGTTAAAGAACAGAGCCATGTGAGAGCAGGGTTTTCTTCAGTTATTGACCTTGTGAGTTAATTTCTGTGCTGTAGCTTCCCAGAAGCAGATATCGTGTGCCCCAGCATACGAGCAGGTTCAACACTTGAAATACGCAACTATTTTTAGAGTAAAACACTTCATTTGAAACTCTGGCTCTGCTAGTATGTCTCATGCTGTTCCTTAATGTTTCACAAAGTCACTTCGTGGTTGTAATCAAAAACCTAATTAGTGGAGCTGCTTTGTTTAACATATTTGATCAGGTGTAAATGTTTTTGTGGGTATGCTGTGTTTGGTTTCTCTGAGCTAATAAATATTCCAGTTTATTTTTGTGTTGTGTGAATAGTGTGCATAGACATGCACGCTTCCTTTTGGAAAGAGATGCCTCAGTATTTCCTGATACCTCCAGTTCTTTATAAGCTTTTTTCCTTCTGAAATGAAGCAGCTGAAATTCTGTGTGGTATTTTTTGAGTTTCTGAGTACCAACAATCAGTTGTTGGAGGTTGTTCCTATGTATAGGAACATATATTATGTTCCTATAAATATTTATTTAACATAATTATGTCCTATAAATACCCTACATGGTTATTTATCTTGTATTCTGATAGTAATTGCATTAAATATTAGGCTATTTTTTTCCCTTTGGTTTTTCAAAAGTGATTTTTTTTTTTCACTGTTCTAATGTTACTTAAAATATTTCACACTTTCTGATTTAACCTGTGTGGGAAGGGCTGTATTTATATTTAAGAACGTGGGTTTGCAAGTATTTAATGTTGCTTATGACGATATAGTTGTACATAAATCCCAAAACCATGTTCATACAAGTTTTGTAATGCAATAGTGCTTTGGTCTGAAGGGATCTTGGTGAGAAAGGCAAAATGCAGGTGGAGTTGTGTGCTGATTGTTACTGCTGAAAGCTTTCCTGAATTTCTTTCTCTAACTTAAACACCTACTGTACTCCTGAGGAAGAGGGATGATGGAGGCACAGGAACCAGCAAACAAAGCTGTTAATTATCTGTCCTTCATCTCAGAATTTAATTTTGCATATTACAGATACCATTTTTTCCCCAAGTACACCTTGTAAAAGGAATAACCTTAGGAAGATTGATGGAGGTTACATGGATTCTCTTGTGCTTGTTTCTGGTTGTTGTGTTGTGTATCCGTGCTGGAAAAGTACATCAGTTTAGCCAGTAATAATTAAAGCAATAAGCTGAATTTCTGCTGGTGATCTTAGTGTGACAAACTAATTTAACTGTCAATTGAATGAATATCTTTGCCCAAAGAATCTGTTTTTACCATTGAAACCAAGTGGGTTGCTGTGACTTAGTGAGTTGTTTTTGCCAGCTGGAGCTCTTGGGAAGTTTAAGCTGAGCTGAACACTTGTCAGTCCCTAGCCAAGCAAAATTATAAAACAGGACAAGTTCATGTTAAATGCCAAGAAAATTTGTGAAAACTGATGGACCAAGAGTTTGTGTGTTACCCTGCTCCATCTGACAGATGGTGCCTTGTTAGGATTTGGGAACTTCAGACTCAAACTTTCAAGTTTAAGCTCAATCAGTTGTGGAGAGTCCATTTGCTTTGAATTCATCTTTTGTAGGAGAGATGTTAAAAAGTTAACTTTTAAAGTTAACCCCGAAGTTAAAAATAAAGATTAAAGGGGTATGAGGAACTCTTGGTAGAGTGGTTATTTTCTTTTCTCTTAGAAGATACTGTCTGTCAGAAGGTAGCAAGGAAAAGGTCTGATACTTAAGGACAGCTGTTTGGTTGAACTCCCTCTTCACATCCCAACTCCAGTACAAAATTCTTTTTACTAATTTTTAAATTTAATGTCAAGTTTCATTGAAAAACATGTATCAGACTATTCTTTTCCACATCTGTTCTTTTTAGCTGATACATTAAGAGAGATGTGTATAAAGTAGATTTAAGGTGGTATGTGTGTGTTTGTATTTTTATGTGTATTTGTAATTTTTTTCTTTGTTCTGATGGAAGTATCCATTAATGCTTTTCCCACCTCAGTAAGTTAACATGTCATCAAGGCTTCTATTCCTTGCAAATCCAGGCTGGATGGAATGTGATGAGTGCATCTCTTGCCTTTCAGCATGAATAGTTTCCTTGATGGAGGGTATTCCTTCCAAATTAGAAGGATTAGTGGTATTCCCCCATTCAAACTCTGCCAGCAAGTGTACTTGAATGTTGCTTTTTTATTGACTTGCTTTTTTCAGAGTGAATGTATCTGTTGAGTGATTCTTTCTCAGAAAGGTGAGATTTTTAAACTGATTCCTGTGGTTAAAATTTATTAAAATCTTGCAGAAGCTGGAGTAAGTGTGTCTTGATAACCTGGCTTCCTCCAAATGCCAGCTTAAATTACAAAGAGGAATTACAAATGGTTTCTGCGATGACAGCAATGTTTTCTACCATAGTGGCCTAGAACAAGATTAATGTTAAGTCCAAGGTGACTCATTTCTTAGGGGAGGGAACTGATGTATACTTAAATTAAACTTTATTGTCTTTTCTATAACTCATGATACCTATGGCAGACACTGTCAGGCAGTCCTGGTGGCCTGTGGGACTTAGGGAATGTGATGTGCAACAATCAAGAGTTGCTATGGGGCCTGATGAATCTGGTTCCAGCTGGCTGTGGATTTAAGGAGTACAAATGGATGGGGATGGTTGTGCCTATGAAACCTCTCTGGCATCCAGAGTTTTCTTGGGTGTTACCCTAGAGCTTCACATCTCCTGGCACTTCAGGGCTGCATTGGATGGTGATGCTGGCAGAGTGTGTTTGCTGCAGGGCACTGCTGGGGATTCTTGAGTTGTGAGTGCAACTCCTGAGCTTGAATTGCTAGATTGAAGGTAAACTGCATTTCTTCTCCTTTTCCTTTCTTCTCCACCTGTTTATCACCTGCTGAAAGAGTGTGTTCTTTTGGTTCAGGTCAGTAAAGTCGGTATTGCTGTCACAGGCCAGAGCTTCTTGTGGTGATGCTGCCTCCCAAATCAAGTAGGCACATGTTCTTTTTAGCTCTGTGAAAGAAACCGCTAAGAGTGTGTTTCTTAAACAAATCCAAAATATTTAGAGCAATCTGTGATGAATCTTGTTTTGCAGTACATCCTTAAAAGGACTGTAAGTTCATTCCTTCTATTCTTACATATGTCTGCTTAGTTTTTCCTTTGTCAACTGCTTTATCTCTCCTACAGGGTTTTTTAATGCCATTAGTTTTTTGAATTAGTGCCAAATATGTTACCCAGGCCTTCAGAAACCCTGTGGGCAAGGAGAGTCTCCCTGTCCAGACATTGGTATGGAGTTGGCTGGGCTGTGTCCCACGCTGCCCTGCAGCTCCGACAGACACGGAGGCACCTCCTGTTCTGTGTCCTGCAGAGCCTCTGGCTCTTCTCTGGGTATTTATAAAGCCTGAAGGAACTGACATGAACGAGGTGGTTTCAGCTGGCACTGCCACCCAGAGTTGTCCCAGGTGCCCCTTTCTGTCCTCCTGGGTGTTTGAAAATAAAGCAGGATTAGGGGATGTTTTTGTGGGGGGGGTGGGGGATTTTGTTTTGTTTTGCTGGTGTAGTAAGTTCAGACTGGCTTCCTCATCACATCCAGCGTACAGCTGAACCTTGTTGGTTCTGTTTATGCTGTGCTATGGGAGTGGGAAGTGTACAGGTAGCAACAAAGCTGCTGGAAGCCAGGAAAGGTCATGCACCTTTCCTTGCTGGTGTCAATCTAGGCTGGAACAGTTTAGGGAAGTGCAGCATGGATTACTCAGTGCCAGGTGATGCCCTGCCACGCTGGCTGTGCCTGGGGATGGCAGATGGTGCCTGTGGGGATGGTTGGGAGGGGAAGAGTCCCTGGTGTGAGTGGTACAGCCTGACCTCCTTCCCTGTTCCCCTGGGATAGTGGGAAGTGTGACTTGGCTGCTGTGCCAGGTAGCAGTGATATAAGCTCACAACTCTCACCTGGCTGGGAGAGATCTGTGTACTGTCATCTGTGCCTTGTACATCTGTCCTGTCATAAATGCTTTACATTTGTGTATTTGTATCTTTGAGACTGAGGAAAACTCTGCCTGCCATACTTGTCAGAAAATCATAACTCCTGAAACACCCTTTTACTTTTCTTAAACACTGTGATATTTTATGCTAAAAATAATTGAATAAATTATCAAGTTAAAACCAGTTATTTCAATTTTTCCTTAGAATCACTGATAGTTAACTTTAATTATTAGCTTTAATGATTTTCCACTGTCCAGCCTCCCTTTAGGGTACAACCC